AATAGGAGATGAGACCCCATTGGCATTAATAATAACAGTTTTAGAACAATTAGAGGAAAAATTAGTAAATATATGAGGATCACAAGTCATATGATCAGTAGCACCCGAATCAATTATCCAATCCCTATCCTTACTAACAACAGAAAGATTAAGGGCAGAGTTAGATATACCTGACTTGGTCACAAATCCGGCAGCCGTAGAAATATAACTCTTGGAAGCAGCGGAAGTTCCAGAATCATGTTTCTCCGATTGATTGTCATCGGAAGAAGCCATCAGAAATATTTGATTAAAAAAAACACTGATTCCTATATCTTAGAGGACATCAGTGTTGGCTCTTGATACCATAATAAAAGATTTAAAGAATAATTCTGATGTATTATTTCAAAGAGTAGAGTATCATATATATACATTTAAGGATCCTATAATTCTTCATCTATTAAAGGAATGACATTTGTATAAATCTGCACAAATTATAATAATATCTAAATTATAACTAACACAATATTTGATTGCCTAATATCCTTTAATAGAATATTTGGCATATCTTAACACTGCATGTTGATGAATTTAAATGATGCGTATTATGTTTTAAATTGAATGATTAGTTCGCAATTTTTATGCTTGTTTGTGCTTGGGTTTGTGTTACTTAGAGAATTTATAATTTGAGCAATTAAGCAAATTGATATGAGTTTTCATGTTTAAATTTGTTTTCAATCAATGCATTGAGAAAAAAGTACTAGTTTGAGCAACTAATTAGGTCAAAGTTTACTTAAAATCACAAAATCTATTTTGTTGTTTATTGATACGACGCACAGTGGTATCAGAATGGCATTAAGAGCCAATTTGTGTGTCAAGTCTATGAGCATTTTAGCTCCAGATGTTGAATGATAAGTTGTATCGTTGAGCTCCACTTTGTGTGAATGCTTTAACATTGAGTAGTAGTAGGATATCGTTAAGCGTCATCTTTGTACTCCAAGGCTGGAACTGGAGGACGTTGAGTGACAGAAAGTGCCACTAAGCGCAAACTTTTGTAAGAAGAATGACATTGTCGTTGAGCGTCACTCTTTGTGATGGTTTGGTGTTAAGTGCAACATTTAAGCACCAGGTTCTTTGATTTGATTTGTTGTCTTCTTTGACTATTTGAGATAGATCTGTGATGAAACTGAGGTATGTTTATAATATTTTTTTATTATTAACTAAGGTTATGATATGGTTGTGGACATATATTAGGATGTTGTTGAAAGAATTTCAAGGAGAAATTATTTATGGTGGTGTTCTTAGAGTATGCACTGACATATGGGAGATCAGTAAGGAGGTATCCTGAATTCTAATAATTATTTACACTCAAATAGAGTAGAATGAGTTATGTCATGAGAGTCACAAGAGGTCCATGATACTGGACCATTTGGTTCTAAACGTGAAGGAGTCTAACCTTATGAGTAGTAGGGTGATAACTCCTTTGTCTATGATTCTACATAACATTAATACTACTATAAGTGCACGCCTAAAGTGAAACCTAATGTCAAAGGCATGTATCCAGATAATTAGGTCTAATGTCAACTATATATGATTTATTATATTTGATTCATGCTTAGCTTAATTTGATATGATTTAATTGTCTTAGAATAATTCTCTTACGCACTAGTTTACTTTGTCGTTTCATTTGTGTTTCTTGTGTTTTGTTTATCTCTTTTACGATGATCGCTTCACGGTGTGAACAAACGATGGATAGGTGTTGATGCGTCTTTGGTGAAAAACAATAATGATAAGTAATTTTCTTTAGTGTTTAGTAATTACTTTCAAGTTTTCAAAAACTCCAAATTATCTTACTTAGTTTATATATATTTTATTTTACGAATATTTATTTTATGAGATAATTATATTAGTACTATATATTTTCAAATAATATGTTAAAAGGAGATGTATAAACTTTAAATTTTTAACAAAAATTAGAATCAAAAGACTAATTAAGAAATAAAACTTTTTTTATATCATTTAAAATTAGAAAATAAAAATTTTCTTTTTGAAACGTTAAAATTTAAAATATTTAAGTTTTTGTCTATTTATTTATCATTTACAAAATTCAATATCACATTAATTAGTATTAATTATATTTTTATGTATTTTTTATTTTAAATAACTCACATATACAATTTTGGTATTAGATAAAAAAAGTAAAATAAATAATTATACAACTATATTTTATTTCTGCAAAATCAACCTTAAAAAGTTAGAGGGAATTAATAATTCATAACAGTTAATGAATACGCATGTAACTTCTTCAAAGATAAAACGTTAGTTATATACATATTAAAACTAATAAATTAATGCTTATTGAATATTTTTATATCATCATTAAAAGAAAATATTAAAGGAGAAAATTAAAGCATATTAAATGAACCAAAATATTAAAGTAAAAAAATAAATCATATTAAATGATCTAAAATATTAAAGGAAAAAATAGAGCATTAAATGCAAAGATTAATGAATTAACATTTTTTTTAAAGTGATCTCTTTTAACTATAAATGTATAACATTTAATATTGTAGAACATATTTTGACCATCTTTTAGTAATTATTTCTAAAAATGAATATATATATATATATATATATATATATATGTGTGTGTGTGTGTGTGTAACAACATTAACTTAATTTATACCAAGTCTCATAATTTACGAAAAAAAGATTTTTTTATATTTATTTTTCTCTATGGATTTTTTGTTCTTAAGTTAAGAAGTGATCTTGAACAAGTTTTATGAACAAATCTTAATCCTTATATATGTTATAAAAAATTAAAAGTGACATACATGTATATATAGATTAAGAAAACAGGTTTCTAACAAAAATTATAAAAAGAGTTTGTATAACTATAAATACCAAATAAATAATTAAACATGAAACTAAATAAATAATTAAATATCAAACAACTTCAAGCAGATTGAAATATTCTAATATAAAAAATCTTAAGAATTCAAAATAAATTAGAAGCCTTGTGTTATATAATATATAAATAGAAGAATAAAGATTTTATATTTATTTTATACTATCTTACTTATTTTTTATTGTCTTCTTTCTTGAAATAATATAAAAATTTATATTTTTTTATTACTTTATCTTATATATTAAATGAATGTAAAAGTGGGTATCGGTTTAGAATGATTATATTATCTTCAGTTTTTAGATTAAAAATAATACAATGACATGTTATACTAACTCATTCGTAATTTATTAATTAATGTTGAATTTCTTTTATATATTTCTTAAAAAGATAAAAAAATAATAATTAATTTACCTGTTTCTACAAAAGAGAGAGAAAAAGGGGTCCACCCCACGGGTATCACTCTCTCTTTTTGTACGAATTTCAGAAAGAAAAAAAAGAAAGAAAAAAAAGTCCATCAATTTCCGAAAATGACACTGCTGCAACATCCACCTCAATTGCTTCAATACTCTTTCCAAGAAAAACAAAAACTTTCCACGCTCATTTTCTTGTCTTCTGTTTCTTATATAATGAGGTGCTAGCTGTTTTCATTTCTTCATTCTCATTTCTCTCTCTCTCTGTTCTCATCATCATTTTCATTCTCTCTGCTCTGAAAACATGACTGGGGTTTCTGAAAAAGCAGCTGTTTCTCTTGATCAGCTTAAGGAGATTATGAGTGAGTTTGCAAAGGAGAGGGATTGGGAGCAGTTTCATAGCCCAAGGAACCTCCTTTTGGCTTTGGTATGCTTCTCTTTCTCAACAAAAAAAAATGTGCTTTCATGGTGCTTGTCATTTCACCTTGCATGAACACTGTTTCTTTCTCTTCTTTTTCAACCAACCCATGTCAACTTTTGTGTTATTTTTCAAGAAGCTCATCCCAAAATTTTTACTTTTTTAATGTTATTTTCTTGAGGATTTCACTGTGTGTTTCTATCAAATTTGTGTTGTTTTGTTATTTATCATGGGTGTTTGAGNTACTTGTAGATAAATAATAATATATTTTGTTTGACTTTTACATTTATATTTATGTACATCACAATATTTATAACATAGAAAATTGCATTATCAAAAAATGTATTTTTATGGGGTTTTTTTAATTGTGTTATGCGTTTCTCTAAGTTTTATAAATGATTTATTCTATAAATTTTTATTATTATTTGTTTTTGAAAACGTTTGATAAATATTTAAAGATAAAACTTTTTTTTAATACTAAATAAGTTGTAGAAAAAAAAGAAAAAAAAGTATAATTAAACTTACTTTGTGCCAGAAAAAAGATAGAAAAAATATTTATATTTATAATTTTTTTAATAATATAAATTATCTTTTGTAGATAATAGGAACTCAGCTCTCAGCTCATTCTTTTAAAAATAAATTGGTTATATAAATCGAGTTTAATATAAAACATATAAAAAGTAAAACAAAAATATAGTTTTATTTAACAATGTATAAGTGATATTTGTAATCTATTAATTTACGAAATTTATAAATCAGAATTATGATTTCTGAATTAATCAGTTAGTTTTATTAGTTAAACTGAAAATCCAATTGATGAGATGGATTGAGACAGATGAATACGATGATCCAAACAGAACGACGAAAACGACGTCACATAACACAACGCTCAGAACTAATTGATGTATCGAATCAAATAAGGATGAAACAAATTACAAATCTATACGTCATTACAATTATACATTGAAAAATAGTGCAAAAATCAAAATCCCTGCAAAGTCTTATGCTTTGTTTGGAAGAGATTTTTTTCTGACATAGCACAGAAAGCATAGCATATTGTGCCTTATATTTACATAGATAACACATCTTTCTTTTAAGTTTGAGAATTCTATTTGCGAGAAATACTAGCTGAAGTTAATTGTGTCAAAATTGGACCTTTCAGGGGAGGTTTGAAAATTAGAATAGAGAGCCTCTTTCACATATTCGTCTATGAGAGAATTTCTTTCAAGATTCCTATGATATAAGTTGAAAGGTTTTGGAACTCAACACAACAACAAATGGGAGGCAAAATATTTATATTATTAAAAGCTCTAATTAAATTCTTCCAATTTAATATCGATTTAATCTTTTGTAAATAGTTGTGTGTTCCAAGTGACAAGAAAGAATAAAATCGATTTTAATTTACAAAATATAAAATGAAATTAAATAAATTATATAAATTTTGGTATTATAGAAGTAATTTAACCAACAATTATGCAAAAAGTAATAAGAACATATANAATTCTTTTATATTTGCCAAGATTAGTAAAATCACACTTTGCAAGCTGTTATCACATTGATAACATCTAAGATGAAACCCACACAATATATTCCATGCCATTCTTTACACATGGTACATTAATGTGTCAAAAAGACTAATGGAATATTAGGCAAAAAAGGAAAAAAATGAATAAATATGCTTTTCTAATATATAAATAAAATTCGGACTCTCATGTATATTGAAGCTGTTATTTCAAGTTTGAGACATTTCAATTTTAATTTTAAAAAATCTGTAATTTTAGTTAATCCCACAATATTTTTATATATTTATTTCTTACGTTATAATTTCTTAAACCATTTTTATGGTGTTTTAGATTATAACATAATTGAACCAAGAAAATGAAATATATTAACAAAATTTAGAGATAGATTGAAATTGTGGATTTTTTTTAAAAAAATATTGAATTTTAAAATTAAACAAAATTAAAATTATGGATTCAACATAATGGTAGGCCAAAACTGTATTAAAGTCTTTATTTATTTAGTGTTTTTCTTTCTTTGATCACCTCATTGAAAGGGAACCAAATAAAAATAAAAATTTGATTTTTAAGTTGAAATTTCAAAGTTTGCCTTGCTCCAAAAAAGGGTAAGTTCAATTTTATCTTATTGATTGACTTTGTAATGATTCCCCAGGTGGGTGAAATGGGAGAATTGTGTGAGATATTTCAGTGGAAAGGAGAGGTTCCAAAGGGTCTTCCAGATTGGAAAGAAGAAGAAAAAGTTCATCTTGGAGAAGAACTTTCAGATGTGTTGCTTTATCTTGTGAGGCTCTCTGACATGTGTGGTGTTGATCTTGGCAAAGCTGCTTTGAGAAAGGTTGAACTGAATGCCATTAAATACCCTAAAAATGTTTCTGTAAAAGAGCCTTCAATCAGCACCAAAGAAGATGAAAATTTAGAAGGTGTTTGATGAAATTGCATTTTGTGTTTTGGGAGGAACAGTGGGAAAGTGGTTTTGGTATATGTTCTTCTATAAAGGGTGGAGGCTATTATTGTTGGATTGGTTTGGTACTAATTTATTCTCTTACCTTTGGCATATTGAATATTATTGAACTGTGTTTTTCTTTTGAACATGTTTT